GGAGAAGCGGGGGGCGGAGCAGCTGAGGTGCTCTGCCTCAGGGCTTCCCCAAGTCCGCTGCTGCTGAAACTGACCAGCAGTGGACTTGGGGAAGCCAGGGGCTGAGCAGCTCCAATTGTCCGGCTGGCCAGAGCACTTCTGGGTTCCAGTTGGTGCTGGACTCTCGGGAGTGCCTGACCATTGGATGCCGAACAACTGGAGTTTTACTATATTCCATAACACAATTCTGTTGATCTCTACATAAACTCATGTGCAAATTGTGGGATGCGGGTAAGGTGTGAATGTGTGTGAGAGGGAAAGCCTTCTTAGAGGCTCTAGCAACATATTCTGACTCATGAAAAGCTTGGACTTTTTAAAAAAATGTTGCATCTCCATTTGGAATCAGGACCAGGAGCCCAGAGTCTTCTGTTTATCTGTAGACAGGTTACAAAACAGGCAGCTGTAATGTAATCTTCCTCATACTGCCTTGCCTTTCTGACCAATACTGGGTTAATGAAGGCCATTCACCATCCTTGTCCCTTCACTCCTTAACCCTTCTACCTGCAAGAGTGCTTGTCATTCCCAATTGTGATGTAATGTAAAAAATTGTCTTGGGGTTTTCATTGTTCTGGTGGTATCATCACCCCTAAAGCTAAGTAAACATCAGGAATTTTACCAACGTAATGTACGTTAAGCAACAAAAACATACAGAAATAAAGGAAAATTACTCCTGGAAGAGATTTTAGATGTGAAATTAGTACAGGAAGAATAAATACATAATTCAAATATGCAGCTGGTGTCCCCCTTAATGCTTTGGGTACTGTTTGTGAGCTGGAACTGATCCCAGTATTTATCATTAGTTGAGTACAGATAGACTTGGTGCTGAATAGGACAAAGAGGCACTAGTTCTCCCCTCAAGAACCTTACAGTCTTAACATGTGACCATCGTGCTCACAGAAAAAAAAATGTTACATAGGGCAAACTGGAATGTTTTAAAAATACATCCTCTCTCATAGATTGTGGTTAATAAACTTAATGAAAAATGTGGTTGTAATGAAGCATATGAAAAGTTTTCGTGTTCTTTTCTAGGTTCTGTTGAGAACTCAGTAGATCAGATGAGGGAGTAGAGTAGGAGATGGGGGGGGGGGGTGTATGCCCAGCTCTCACGCAGCAAATGAGTTGGTACCTTCATTTAACCTCTACCCACCTTCAATCTGTAAAACTGGAATGCTACTACTTAGGTATCCCAGCCTTGATACTGTGTGCCTTTATACATACATGTAAGTCACTTGGAGATCCTTGGAAGATTGGTAGCAAAGAGCACCAAGTATTACCTTGATAACATATTCAGCTCTAAATACATCTAATACCTGATTCCAGAGTTTGCCTTGGAATACCAAGCTTTCACTCTAGCAAATGCATTTTTTGTTTTTACCAGCAAGCCAGAAAACTGCTCATGGGGAAATGAGGTGAAAGTCTCAAGTCATGTTTTTAGGGCACCAAATCAGCATTGCTATGCATGCACTGAGAGAATCGGAAGCTCCTCTGGAATATTCTTCATGATTGATGGAAAATTGATCGTAGGCAATGTTCAAGTAAATTCAAAACAGCAACAAATTAGAGTATTTAAAAAAAGAAAAACATATTTCAAAAAGTGTTTTGGTTTGAAAAGAGTAAAATCACCTCCTGATGGTACCATATATTAAGACCTTAAAACAGAAGATTTACACATTACAAAATGTAGCCATACCAACACTACAACAAACTGGAAAGCACAGTCCAGACTGAATGTTTATCCTTTTGCATGAAGTGAATGTGAAGGGGTTTGTATTTCAGGGGTGACTAAATAGATTGGAGAGAGTGGGAAAAGTGTAGTTCTCAGGGCCACAATAATGAGGGGTAGAAAGCTGTTACCAGGTCACACAATATAATCAAATCAGGGCAATTAATGGAACTGAAAGGCAGCAAGTTTAAAACTGATAGAAAGATCTAAGGACTCATTCTGAGTTTAAAAATAAACCTGCACAACTCACTGACATGACATACATGAGGCCAAGAACTTAGTAAAGTCTGTACAAAGAATTAGTTATATTATCAAGAACCACCAGTTCCTTATCAGTCAGGAAATTACAAAACAGAAGTGTGATAAGCCTTCACTTTTATATACAAAGCTGCCTCTCTGTGATTGGGGTGAGAAAAACTTCCCCTATTGTCTGCTCGCTAATTTCACAAACTACATTGTGAGGTTGTTTTTTTCCCCACATTCTGGTACTAGCTGAATAAAGGCCATTATGATCCAATGGTAAAAACTGCTATAATTATTCCTATGTTCTTCTGAAAACACAGTGGGATTATGAGCTGCCCTGTCTACGATGGGGGTGAAAGAAAAAAAACCCTGTTCCTGTCTTCCAGTTGTGAGTGCAGAACCCACAACAATACAGATGTAAAGGACCTCTAACTCCCAATTTATAGAGCAGTAAGTAGCATTCTACAGAGGGCTGTAGTTTAGTTATACCAAAAAATCTCTCCTATCTTACACCTTCTTCTTCCCAAATCCATGTGAGAGGGAATCCAACGAGTATACCAGAATGGTATGCTATGTTTAATTAGCATGTCCAAAATTCTGTACTTCTTTCTATTGTTGGAGTATATTTGGCCTTATATTTTCTTCTAAGAAAAGGAACCGCAAGTGACAAATAAAACAGTTGTGCAGAAATTATTATTTGTTACACACTGCTAAACCTCTATGCAAATGATTTGATCTTGTGCTCATCAACAAACAGCTCAACCAGAGAGTCACATTAACTTACCCAGTTATAAACCTCTGCAGACAGAGAAGATATTTGAGTAACACAAACTTATCTGCAAAGTTCAGTGCCCTGTCTATACTACAAGAATTACCTCAACGATTAGATGGAACAGCAACAGATGTAGCTGAACACTATTTAACTGCTGAAGTACTGAACACTATTTAACTGCTGAAGTACAGAAGGACAAACTGACCAGAAACCATAATTATACATCTTTGCATCACATGCTTTCCCATTTTTTCCAGTTTATGTAGTCTGCATATAATTTCTTTTTCCTATAGGTTAAGTAAGTGCTTCAGCTACATTACTGGAAAGAAAGGAATTGAGTACATGAAACTCTTGCCATGTGTGGTGGATGCGTTTCTGCATCACCATTAATGGTGAAATCTGCAAGTACTGGGAGTCATGGCTCTCTAGATGAGCTCCATGTGGCTCCTGAACTCACTGCAGCTGCTGGGAGCAACAAGGAACTCACCACAGCTCCAGTCAGGTGCGGAGAACTCGGCACAGCTGTTGGGAGCTGTGCTTAGTTCCCCAGGACAAGAGACCCTGAAAATACACAGAACCACTAATATTAATTCCATGAATTGAGAGGGTCTCCAGTATTACCCTTGGAAATCCAAACAAAGATTTACCCTTGGAAATCCAAACAAAGCAAGTGGCACGGATAAAGACATATTTTCAACAAGTGTACAAAATATGCAAGAGGAACTTTTTAGTCATCTTAATAAAAATGTATCCCTGAGTGCTGTATTTTTCACTCTGGCATTCCTTCATTTTCCATTGTGAACAAAATACTAATTATAAGGTGTCACATCACTGCTGACATACCATCTAAATAATATTGATATCTGAAATGAGCAGGAAGTGTTCCATTCTTGATAAAACAGAATTTAAAACTACATAAATTACTTTCATGATAGAGACTACACTACAGTACTTGTATAGTGCCAATATTCGTAATAAAAATACACTTTGTTTTCGATGTTGAATTAGAAATTAATATTTGAAAATGTGGAAAGACATCCAAAATTTTTAATAAATTTCAATTGATGTTCAATTGTTTAACCGTGAGATTAATTTTTTAATCCTGATTGTTTTCAACATTAATCCCGTGAATTAACGAGATTAATTTTTTAATCCTGATTAATGTTTTCAACATTAATCCCGTGAATTAACTGCAGTTAATCAGATCTTTAAAAAAAAATACTTCACTTTACAGTGTCTGGAAGATGATGTCCACCACCACTGAAATAGCCATTGCTGACACCAGCAATGGCTCTTCTCCCTCATCCATCCTGGTTCTCCTAATAAGCATTATTTATTTCTATTCTGGGCTGCTGTATAACAAAGGCAACACAGTGAGATCCAAGAATCTGGCTCAAACTTCAGCAGTACAGTGATCCTTAACACTATGCTTGGTCATTGGTTTGGGAGTGGGTCAATACAAGCTCTCTCTGCTGGAACACCAAACATCACGTTCTGTGGAACATTCAGAAAGATTCTGCCCCCTGCTTCAAGAGCACATAGGAGCTGCAAACAGCCCACAAGAAAAGGAAGAATTTCCCTAGTGCAACTACAACATTGGGTTGCAAGCCTGGATATTTTAATAAAAAGTTAAAAAGGTGGCTTTAAAAGTTAAAATACCAATGAAACTTCAATCAGATTTTTTCCTGGGAAGCTAAAATTAAGCCAGTCTACTGTACTACAGTCCGGCTACACACTTTTTAAAAGCAAAGGAAGTGAAAGACTAAGGCTCAGACCCTCAAAAGGTATTTTGGCACTGCATGCCTATTGAAATCAAATACCTTTGACTGTCTGGGCATTAGTGTTTTTACAAATAATCAGCTGGTATATTACAATCTTTTGTTAGCATGCAGCACATTTAACATGATGCATGTTTTTCTACCAGTTCACTTCATCCGACAAACAAAAGAAACCAAATTTGCAGAGGTAATTTTACAATTCTTTTAAAACTGTAGTCCCTCAAAAGGGAATGACAATGTCACAGGGCACAGACAACAGAAGCACACATGGCTTGATTTTCCAATTGAACTTTTTAATAAGGTAGAACATAGTGAACATTTTCCACCGAAATGCAGTTATTTCAGAGAATATGCTCTACTGAATGGAGAACAAAAATTCCAGAGGATCTACATGTTTTAAACACTTACATTCCTTTAGCCATTGTAGTTACTATTCTGAATGAAGTATGGATTTTTGCTTCACTTGAATTTTTCGTTTGAAGGTAAGTTACTATATGTCTCAGGATCTGGCATGCAAAAATGAAAAAAATGTATTGTTTTGACAGTTCCATTTCCTGAATTTGAAGGTAAGTTACTATATGTCTCAAGATCTGGCATGCAAAAATGAAAAAAAATGTATTGTTTTGACAGTTCCATTTCCTGAACTGCACATTTAGATAGTTATATTTATGTAAATTAAGATCGTTATAGTAATGTAAATTAACTGAAGGGCTTAGTCAGAGCCCACTATCGGCTGTGCAGCTCTTTACGAAAGGTGTGGCAACAGACTCTTTGCTTTCAGTCAGTGCCCTTGGCTGATGGATAAGTACACTAAACTTAACCCCCTGGTTAGCTGCAGCCCTAACAAAACCGCTGTTTGCAGTCATCGTGATGGCTTTTAAAGTGTCTCCTGTCCCAAAAATGGCTAGAGAGCGGCTATTGATTTTTGAACTAGCCACTAGTCTTAAGGCACGGTTAGAAGGCTGGTCTGGCACCACATTAATTCTCTTCATGAGTAACACGGCTCGATCTTTCTCCCCAGGTCCTCCTAGAGTGTCTAAGATTGACTGAAAGTCTCTGACTGCAGATTCACAAGTAAACAGTTCCTTGCCCTTCATGAACTCCTCCAACGGAGGCAGGACTCTCTCCTTCCTTTCCTGTGCTGCCTGCTCCGTTAACACTTTCTCCTTAAAGATAAAGTAGCAGCCACCATAGCTAAGAGCAGAGACATATGTAATTAAAGTAGTTATGTCCAAGTTAACCCTATTGCACACATCTACTTTGATCTCTGTAGGAAAAGCAACGCTGGCTACTAAATTCTCCCGATCTACTCTGGTCACTTGCAGAAGTTCAGAGCTTTCTTCATCAGATTCACTGGCACTTAGGTGTGTCTCTTCAGTCAAGTGTTCCACCAAAGCATTAACAGCAACTATATCTCCCCGCACAGATATACCCATCTCTTTCAGCCTCTCTGCCATAGGACTGGACACACTATTATAAAAAGCAAAGATAATATGGGGGTTGCTATACTGCACTGGTTGCTGATGGCTTGCTTGCAGGAAGTCCTCTGCCTGCTCAATGATGCTTTTGTCACCATACTGGCCCCGGCCCAGCCAAATATTATGAAGAGCTTCAGCCTTTCGACCAATTGCTTTCACCCAAGTGTGGCCCCCATTTGCAACAACATCTACCACCAGCGTTTGCTTTTCTCCAAAGCTGTCTTCATAAGCAAAGACATGAAGGACACTGATGACCTCCTCCAGGTTCTCTGCTGACTCAATTAGGGCTTGGAGGTGTGTGAGATTGGTACTCTGCAGATGGGACTCCTTAATGGCTACCTTCCCTGCCTCCACCCTGTGTAAGAATTTCAACTCTGCCTTCAATTTGCTGCATAGCTTTGCTCCACCTTCTATGCCTCCTTTTTGTGATCTGGAAAGGGCTTCTGCTCTCTTTATTAGTTCTTTGGCAACGGTGATTCTCTCACAAAGCAATGACTTCACAGACATGTTGACAACATTATTCCTGTCAGATGAAAGCAAAAGAGATAATTACTACAAATTCAGCAACAAAGATAATACAGAGAGAGGGTTTAGCCAATACCATACATCAGTGCTTTGAACCGTATTTGTGCAATGGTTATCATCGGTCAGTAGAAACCTTAAGACCTTGGCCAAGATCTTCAAAAAAAAGTAACTAATGATCTGAGACCCCAAGCTCAGGTACCTTGAAGGGGCCTGATTTTCAGCAGGCGAGTACTCAGCATTTTCAGAAAATGCAAGGTCTTTAAGAAGATGTCTTCCATGATTTGAGGTTCTTCTATTTGAGTTGTCCAACATCCTTAATCACTTCCCCCTCTCCCCCACCCAAAAAACAACAAAAACACACCCTCAGCTCTAAGCTTATTTGCAAAGCAAATTTATACAAGCCTCACTGTGTTCTAAGCTTTCCCCCAATTTACACGCTATAGTTCTAGTGATTTGTTTTAGTTGCTTTTACTGCACCCTGGGAGTTCATTGTGCTTCAACCATTTTTAAAAACAGGCTCCCTTCTCTATGGCTGTGTCTACACTACATGCCTCTGTCGGCAGAGGCATGTAGATTAGGGTTGTAGGCAAAGGTAAATGAAGTCGCGATTTAAATGATCGCGGCTTCATTTACATTTACATGGCTGCCGCGCTGAGCCGACAAACAGCTGATCAGCTGTTTGTCGGCTCAGCGCGGCAGCCATGTAAATGTAAATGAAGCCGCGATCATTTAAATCGCGGCTTCATTTACCTTTGCTGAATAAACAAATCTACATGCCTCTGCCGACAGAGGCATATAGTGTAGACGTAACCTATATTGTAGAGCTGCAGCTACTTAAGTAACCCAGAAAAGTGCCTCATGGCTGACCTTTAATTACAGACATAACATCAGATTATAAGAAGGTGTGTAATATAGCGGGGTGACTATAGCTCTAGGATCCAGGAATTCCATTCTGGTGAACTGGCTCTAAAATGGATTAATAGTGTGGCATTTGAACATGCCATTACCACCAGTCCACACCCCTTCTATCAGTATAATGGGTATACTATTATATACCTACTTTATCAGGGTGCATGAGTGTGTGTGGTGGGGGATCAGTTATTACTGTAAGTAATTGTATTTCCTACAGGGTCAATACACACGTATACCCCATATTTTCTGATTAGGCTAAATGTTGCATTTTATAATTACATTTTATATGTATATCATTTATTAACAAAAGGCTAAAGGAAAAGTCAGCTATGAAAAACCCAAAAAGCCCCTAAAGTTTTATACCAGAACAAAGTTCAGTGATTTTTTTTAAAAAGTTCAAAAGAACTTTAAGGTCAAAAGTTTGTCATTTTACAGAACAACAGTTAAACAGGCAGCTGATGTGAAAGTAGCAAAAGTTGCATTAACTTTCAGAGAGAATAAACCTTAAGTTCACTCAACAGACTTGCTTTCCAATGAAAACAGCTAAAGCCTTCCCAATCAAATCACTCTACTATGGATCTTCACAGATTCAGCTAAACAATGCAACTAATAAGGTCTTTGGAATAAAACTCTGACCTTCTTGCTCCATGTAATATTCAAGGGGAAACACCATGCAGCCACTACACATGTCACCTAACTGCTCCATGTAATATTCAAGGGGGAACACTATGCAGCCACTACACATGTCACCTAACTGCAATGACTAAAACATTATTCCAGCACTATGGAGATATTTATTTAGGGCCATGTTAACCTTTTTTGCTACTTTTGAACAGTGAGATTGCAATTCTAAAACTTCTCAATATGTGATGTTCTTCCTCCTTTGCCTCCATATTCTCATTATTTCCTGCTACCATCCACTTCCTCTACCTATCTCCCACAAGGCTCCTCTGTCCTGCTACAGTATGTTAGAGCAGTGTTTCTCAACTTTTTTTTTAATAAAGTACCCCTTTAAAAAAATTATAAGTACCCCCAATACTACAGTTTTCAGACACAATTTTTTTTCTCCCATTGCAACACATTTGTTTAAACAACTTAATCATAACCAGGAAGGCAATTAAATTTTTGGGTGTAAAAAGTACAAAAATAATAAAGCGCTGTAAAACTTAACAAAAATTCAGTTCTCTCCAAATCTCAGTGTACCTCCCCCAGACTTCTCTTGAGTATCCTTAAGGGTACTGGTACCACTGATTGAGAAACCCTATGTTAAAGTTTGCCTTAATGGGATCAGTGAAACCCCGGGAAGACACAGATTTCACTTTCCTAATGAGCATGGTCACACCCCCAGTGTATACTTAGCAGGCTGGTAGGAGGTGGTCCTGGAGTAGGTGCAGAAGCAGTGTGGGAAAGCAGATGGAATACAGCTTGTGGGAGTAGGGTTATCACCAGATAGCAAATGTAAAAAACAAAAACCAGAGCACATGTTTTCTGAGGCCTGGAGTATGTAGTTGCATATAGGAGGCAAAGACTCTAAGATCTGGACATTTGGTCACCTGCCTGGGATCCCTATCCCAGCTGCAGAGGCTACATGCTGCTGAAAGCGGGGAGGCCAGTCTAGGTCCCTCCTCCTCCAGTCCAACCTCTCCCACCACGCCTCGTCCCCCTGCATCAGCGCCCTTTGCCAGGTGCTGCTACTGCTGCCTGGCCCCCTGCCGCGCCCTCAACCATCCCCGACTCCTGAAAAAGTCCCTAGGGAAGACGCGCAAGTTGCCACACTCCCCCGCCTGCTCTCCCAGCCTCAGCTTGAGCTCCCCTCCCCGCCCCGCTGCCAGCAGGACACTGCCCCAGCCCGGCCGGTTACTGACCCTGCAAGAGACGGGGCACAGCCTACCGGACCGCAGCACCCACCCCGGCCCTTCCCGCTTGCTGGCGGGCAGTGCCTGGAGAAGTCACATGAGCGCAAGCCACCATCTTAAGCAAGGGCAAAATTATTTCAATCCCCAGCAGCTTCTGTAGCCAACAGTCGCCCACTCCCCAGGTCCGCCCTCTGCTTCGCCGGTTCCCAAGCAATCAACCCGCTCCACGCCACTAAGCCAGCAGCAGCAGCACCTCGTTACTGCGTGCAACTCCCAGCAACCTGGGAATTTGCACTAAGCAGCGAGGCACCGGGCTTCATTTGTATGCTTGGGTTCAAGTGCGCCTGTAAAATTGCATTCAACGCCCCAAACCTCCACTACCGCAGGGCTCTTCGGTGTCTATAAAGGGGCCATTAAAAGGACGTCACAGCTTCGACAGCACATTGAGCAAGGCCCACAGCAAAATCTGTCTAACCATGCTCTTCAGCCTGTCTTTGTGTTGAAAAACAAGCTATGACAGCGCCCGCCCACACACACAATTTGGATGCAGGGGGTTTGCTGTTGCCTTAATTGGAGCGCCCCTACAAAGAAGGAAGCCCTGTTTTCTAACCCGACTATCCCTCTGGCCCTTGTTTACTTGTGTATCTCGATCCAGCTGCTACCCCCAGTCTCTCAAACAGGAATTAATGTACAGTGGCGGGTTGGTCTCTGGGAAGGAGGATTTTCCTCTGAGTCCGTCACAATCACATTTCTTAGCGGCCCTTTCGTCCTCGGAGTCCCCACCGCAGCGGCGCCCAGGCCGAGCGTGCGCAATACTTACACCTAAAGCGGGGCTCAGCCCTGGGGCATGTGCCACGCTCCTTCTCCCGATGCAACAGCAGCTGCTACCCATAAGCCCATTCATAGAGAAAACCAAGGGCCAGCCCTCTCCGGGGCCTGCCCTTCCCCTTCTGCGAGCTCAGCAAAAACCCCTGGCTGCGCGCACACGTTTCTCTTCGCAGCCTCCAGCGGCGCCACCTAGTGATCCAAGCCAGGGGTTTATTGAAAGGATAAACCGAACCCTCTTACACTTGACTTGCCGGGGACTGGGAAGAGATCAAAGGAAGGGTGCGTTACAGAAAATGTAACTCGCTACCGTCATCCCCCATACCCTATTCGTCCCATAGATTTTTAAAACTAACGAACTGTTTTTTTTACCCTAACAAGTTTATGCTCAAATACATTTTGGTTCGGACACTCTCTAAATGACTTAACCACCTGCATTCTGCTACAAAGACCTTTTATATCTGCACTTGAAAGGGAATCCTCTGAACTGTCATTCATGTTAAAATTCGACACTTGTCAACAAGGACTTAACAAGACTTTGAACTTTCTCACCCATTACCAAGACAGTTTCCCCAATTATCACCTGTAATACCATTAACTCACAAACATCCCACTCTCCCTACCTTTAATATCAGCAATTCACAGACACTTACCTTCCTTCCTCCCCCTTCCCACCCCCCCGCATCCCCCTTCTGTTCTGCAATGTGATTTGTCCTTTTCATATTTGTTCATTTTTTTAAATTGTATCCTTTGGTATATATGGTTGTGACTACTTTCTTCCACTATTTGATCTGAGGAAGTGGGTCTGGCCCACGAAAGCTCATCATCTAATAAACCATCTTGTTAGTCTTTAAAGTGCTACATTGTCCTGCATTTTGCTTCAAAAAGGAGATGGACGGTCAAACCACATTAACGTAAAGTTTTGTGCTTGTGCTATCTAAAAGGCATACTACAAGGAACACACAACAAAATGTTTATTTCTTAAAATTCCATGGAAAATCTTAGAGTTTATCCTGTACAGACTAACTCTGCTACCCCCTGAAGCTCAAATAAATGTTAGTCTTTAAAGTCCTCATCGTAGTTTCCATAGAAGTAAGCCACCGGACAAGTGGAGGGGGAGGGAGGGGAGAGGGAGGCGGCAGGAGAACGGAAAGCAATACTACTACACTGCCTCTGTGAATCATTAAAATGAAATACTTTTCAGAGGGCTGTGCAAATGCTCAAAATATGAATGCTGTGCTTTTCTGAGCTTCAAGGGAATTTTGGCCTCCCATGGGTATTGCCAGAATGCTTGGACATGCCTTTTTCTTGATTGGAACTTCAAGATGCAAAATAGCATCTCTCACCTGATATATTTCCCCACATAAATTCTGCAGACTCATGGTCTTCCCTCTCTTTCCTTACCTGAAGCAACCCATATCCTATCTGTTTCACAGTTCTAAAAACTAACCTCCCAAGAAGGCAATTAATACATTTAACCATATAATTAATCATACTATTTAAATTTTCACTGGGCATTTGAGTTCACATCCCTAAGGGCTATTGTTCCAATCTCAACTCTGCCTCAATTACACCCTGTTCAGAGATATACATAGCTAGGAGAAGCTGCAGATATTCTGTCTTGATTTTAGTGAAGTTTTAATACAGTCCCATATTATATTTTCACAAGCAAACCAAGGGCAGGGGCAGGAGGGGAGGGAAGGAATTATTACAAAATGGGTAGACAACTAATCAAAAAGCATTACTCAAAGAAGAGTTATCAATGGTTTGCTATGAAAGTGGGAGGACATATCTAGTGGAATTCTGCACTGGGCTGTGCTCAGTCCAGTACTAGTCAGTATTTTCATTGGCAACTTGGATAATGGAAAGTACGCCTATAAAATTTGTAGATTACACCAAGCTAGGAGGTCAGAATTAGAATTTAAAAGGAGGTTGATAAACTGGAGTATTTGTTTGAAATCAGAAAGATGAAATTCAATACAGACATGTGCAAAGTCCTACACTTACAAAGGAAAAACTAAATGCACAAATACAAAATAGAAAATAGCTGACTCAAGCAGCAGTATTATAACAAGAGATTTCAGGGTCATATAGCATTACAAATTAAATATAAGAAAATTCATATGCAAAAAAAAAGGAAATATTCTTGGAGGTATTAACAAGAGCATTGTATGTAAATCACAAGACATAACTGTTCCACATTATTGTGAACTGAGAGATCTTAAGTGAAGTACTCTGATGCCCAAGGCTGGATACACTTTAACAAAAATGTACACAAATAGAAGGCCATAAAAGAGCAGTAAAAATGATAAAAGTTTTAGAACACCTGGGCTGCATCTAGACTGGCATGATTTTCCACAAATGCTTTTAATGGAAAAGTTTTCCGTTAAAAGCATTTGCGGAAAAGAGCGTCTAGATTGGCACGGACGCTTTTCCGCAAAAGCACTTTTTGCGGAAAAGCATCCGTGCCAATCTAGACGCGCTTTTGCGCAAAAAAGCCCCGATCGCCATTTTCGCGATCGGGGCTTTTTTGCACAAAACAAATCTGAGCTATCTACACTGGCCCTTTTGCGCAAAAGGACTTTTGCCCAAACGGGAGCAGCATAGTATTTCCACAAGAAGCACTGATTTCAGACAGTAGAAAGTCAGTGTTCTTGTGGAAATTCAAGCCGCCAGTGTAGACAGCTGGCAAGTTTTTCTGCAAAAGCAACTGCTTTTGCAGAAGAACTTGCCCATCTAGACACAGCCCTGGCCTATAAGTAAAGATTTAAAAAAACTGGGCATGTTTAGTCTTGAAAAAAAGAACACTGAGATGGATATTTAATTATATTCTTCAAATGTATTAAGGGCTGTTACAATTATTGTGTCTGTCTTAACATCCTTATTATTGAAGGTATCAAGTAAATGACTAATTGTGTACTCGATACAAATTGTATTGAGTACACAATTAGTCAATAAGGGGCCACTGCAGCTTGCAGTTTAAATGTAATAGAAGCAGCCTGGTTCCTACTACATTTCAACTGCAGAGAACAATGGGAGTAGATCTGGGACCTAGTGAAAGCTGGGACTACTTCACTCCCAGCTCATACTGAATCCAAGTGGCTCTTACTATGTTTAAAAGGCAGAGCCACTGTGCTCCTACCTCCTCGATCTCAGAGATTGTGTAGGGGGAAGAAGCCAGCTTTTAAACTGGCTCCCCCCAGCACTGGTCCCTGCCTCACTCCTCCCTGCCTCATGCTGCCTCTGAAGTAGAGGCAGAAGGGAACACGTGGTGAAGCTTCTTGCTGGGCAGCACTTACCACCAGCAGCTCCAAGTTGGTGGAACAGAGGCTCAGGCACTCACTACTTGCCCCAGCCCACACCATACCTGGAAGGTGCCAGAAGGCCCCTGTGGGCTGGGGAACACATGCCTTTGTGCACTTCTCTCTGCTGGCACCACTCTCTCAGCTCCCATTAGCCACAGTTCCAATAGAAGCTGAAAGGGGCAATCTCTCTCTCTCACTCTCCCCCCCCCCCTGCTGGTCATTTCTGAGAACAGGCTGGCAGTGAGAGGCTGGGGCAATAAGAGAGCCTGGTCTAGCTGCAGCCCCACTAGAGATTGCAATTGACTGGGAAGCTCCCCAGGATCAACCAGCTGGCGACCACTTATTTAAGTATATTATGTTGCACATCAGTGGAAGGGGACAGGGTAGATGATTTTTTGAGATTTCTTTCTAGCCTCACAATTTCTATAATTCTATATAAAGGTGAGATTCTAGAGAACAAGACAGCAGCGAGAAGTACTAGTATGCTGTTCTGTCAGATAACCAATGAAACCTTTGAATTAGCACATTATTTCTCTTCCTTTCCCAGTGACTTTTGAGGCCACTGAAAGCATGAATTGAAGATTCATAAACTGCACTGCAAGACATTTGTGAGTGAAATTAATGCTTCTGAGTGTAAAAGATTAAGTAAACTGGATGAATCGCAGTGCAGTCTTCGGGACACAACTTTATAACTGTGACTAGGCAATTAGTAGACTATCCGATAAGCCTAGGTTTATTGGGTAGTTATTACTCGACTAGCCGCTCCCCACCCGCTACCTCTGTATCATAGGCAGCAGGGAGGGGAGCTGTCTTAAAAGCCGAATCTCCCTAGCACCATTTCCACGGGTGGCAGGGAAGGCAGAACTGCCAGCAGGGGAAATTATGTGAGCCAGGACTGAGTAGTCCCAACTTGTGCTGAGTCCCACATTCTGCACCTCTGCTTTTTAAATGTAAAAAGAGCCTGGAGCTCTTACTAGAGTAAAACTCCAATGGTCCGGCATCTGATGGTCCAGGTTCCTGATGGTGCCGGAAGTGCTCCGGGCAGCCAGACCATTGGAGCTGCGCTGCCCCCAGCTTCCCCATTCAGCCGCTGCTAAAACTGACCAGCAGCTGAATCGGGAAAGCTGGGGGCAGAGCAGCTGGAGTGCCGCCGGGTAGGTCCCGTAGCGCTGCCCCTCGGGGCTGCGGGACCAACCCAGCAGCACCCCCGCTGTCCCCGATTCAGCCACTGCTGATACTGATCTGCGGCTGATTCCAGGAAGCCCAAGGCAGAGCTGCTCTGCCCCGGGCTTTCTGGAGTCAGCCGCTGGTCAGTTTCAGCAGCAGCTGACTTGGGTACACCTGGGACAGAGAAGCTGGGGTACTGCCGGGTTGGTCCAGTAGCACTGAGGAGCAGCGCTGCGGGACCAACCCGGCAGCACCCCAGCTGCTCTGCCTCAGGCATCCCCAAGAGCAGCTGGGATGCTGCCCGGGTGGTCTCGCTGCGCCATGGGTCGGCGCTACCCGACCAACCCGGCAGCACTCCAGCTGCTCTGCTGCAGGCCTCCCAATTCAGCCGCCGCTGAAACTGACAAGCAGCAGCTGAATCAGGGATGACCCTATGAGGGGTCTGGGGTGGCATCCAACCCACCCCAGACGACCCATGCCCCCCTCCTTCCGATAGTCCGGCATACCTGATAATCCGGCACCACCTGGGTCCTAAGGTGCCGGATTATCGGAAGTTTACTGTACATTTAAAAAGCAGAGCTGTATTGAACCCCCTTATTGACTAAGAGTAGTTGATGGAAATCCCTAGCTGTGATATGAGTATCAAGGCTACCTGCTGCATAAGATCCTACTTAAAGGACTCC